CACATTATTATTATTATTTCTAGCATACTAAAAAATAATTTTACAAAAAAAAGAGGGATGTATAAACATATATGGACATATTTCATATATGATTATACATATGTTTATGGATATTTAAGTATATTTATACATATTTATACATATTCATGTATAAAAAATTTTTTACTGAGTTGGTGTGACATTAAATTTCATACAGTACATATAATAAATTCCATAAAATAAAGAGATATCCAGGATTAAGTTTGTCCCAATCTGTTATTATTTATTCATTTTAAGGCAACGGATGTATGGAATGCTATACATATAGTTATTTGTATATTTTTAATAAATGATGCATATGCATCTATAGATATATAGTATTTATTATAATAAAATTACCACACATCCGTTACCCCAAAACACATTACCAAAAAACATTAATTTATCACTTACCAATCCGATGCGCAACAGCGGAGTTATATCAGCAATGTCGCTACGATGATTCTGTAACAAATAAATTAAAATCCAAATTAAAACAGAGTAAAAAAATAATCATTACTTTAAAAAATAATTACTATATGAACGCAGTTTGCTGAAAAATGCAATTTTGAAAATATAATTTTTGTAAGCATCGAATTTTGTATCCACTATTTAATTAGATATATATAAAACAATTATATATTCTCTCTCTCTAAAATAATTATATATTTTTTCTAAAATAATTATATATATATTCTTTAAAGAAGATCTTAGCAAAAATAAATTTGTATAAAAATTACTTTAAAATTTTATACAAATTTATTTTTATTAAGATCTTTTTTAGAGAATATATGTATAATTATTTTAGAGAATTATATAAAAGGAGAAATTCAATAAAAGAAGAATTACTTAAAAATTATTTTAGAGAATATATAATTATTTTATAGAATTATTTCGCAGAATTATTTTATATAATTATTTTATGGAATATACAATTATTTAAATCATTTTATTTAACAATGATTTTAAACTAATCTTTTTTAAATCATTATTAAATAAAATTATTTAAAAACAAGCAAAAAAAAATTAATTTTACAAGTAAAAAATAATATTTACCGCAAGGTTGCTCCACCGGTGCCCGATGTCTCTCCCAGACCTCCTCCTCCTCTCAGAATTGGGTTGACATCCTCTCGCACAGGACACTCGCGTAAAACACTCCCGAATAATACACTATAATCGCGCGCGGACTATAACTTAAACGGCACTCCCGAAGCAAACGCGCGGCGCGACGAACCGGCTGCGGTTCGTTCACTTTTAATTAAATCGGCGAACGAGGGTACATTAACTTTGGATTTTTATACAAAAAGAATGATTTTACTCAATGTCTAAAAATTTATCTAGATAAATCATTTAGATAGATCCGAAAATTTTTAGATACTTAAGAAAAACTGTTCTTTTCGTGTAAATATCCTCTGGGTACTGAGCCCTCCCACCACGTACCCGTGAGAGGAAAGATAATCTAAAAAATGTAATATATATTAAATATAATATATATCGGTTAACTTATAGAAACGAACATCAAACACACATTTGCAATTCGTTATCATTGTGAAATAAATTCATTGTGAAATAACAGATAAAAGGGTTGAATCTTTTATTTATAAATGATGTCTATAAGATATAATTGAGAGTCAATGAAATGGGCTAGAAATTAATAAAAAAGAGAAATGTTTCTTTTATTATAAATAATTTCAAAGTTACGTTTAATTTTTAAATGGATCGTATAACCAAAGATGCACAAAAACAAAAAATTAATTAAGTTATTAAACTTTATATTAATTGTGAAAGCAGGAATTGCGTGAGAGTGTTCATATTAACATTGTTTTTTTATGACTCGTGTGATACCGTTCATACAGACAAGTAGCCATGTCGCATGCCGCTCTTTTTCACATTTCTTTTTGAAACATATAATAATCGTAGAAAATGTTAGATATAATAAAAATGACGAAATGTATTTTATGAATAGTCACATAATACGATTACTAGTATGATTAATTATTCATAAAGTACAACGTATTTCATATTATATTTGGCATTCTTCGCGTTAAGATTTCAAAAAGTAATGTGAAAAAGAGCCTCATACGTCACGACTATCTGCTTATACGAATCTCGGTAAGAGAATAACTGCGCGATAACTACGCGTAAACGTAAACATGACGCGCCGCTTCGTGCCACCCCGTGCCATCTCCATCCCAAGGTCGCGAGCCAACCGTCTAACTGTCGAAATATTAATACATATTACGAAGTAAAATAATATATTCCTTACATTTTTAATGTTCTTCGATTAATGAAACAATTTATTATATGTATCTAGTTTTAGCGGCGCGAGTGGTTTAATGTGATATCATAGTTACATTGTGATATACCGAAGAACATATTTAACGTTTATTTTATAATTTTAAATATTTCGCAATTACAATGTGCTGACAAAAGGTAAGAAGTAAAAAGAGATTTTTACTAGCATTTTTCTTACATAATTATTCACGTAAAGTGCTTTTGGCGTTCCAACATTATATCTATTGAGTTATAATGTTATAGTATCTTATCAATTCGTATAAGCAGGTAATTTAAATATAATTTAATTGTTACTTTTCCCGTATCATAAGAATGCGGAACACAAAAATGACAGAATTATACGATTCAAAGTGATAAAAAGCCACAATTTGAAATATCTAACAATAAGAATCTCATTTTTATACCGTACATGAGAGAACACATGAAATATTCATGAGCTGTGTATGTGCATAATGAATTTAAGAAAGAAAGTAAAAAACCGTTGCAATAATACCTATTAAAACCTTAGTACACTTCTTAGTTTTAGGTAACCTTACATAATTCACGTTGGTAAATATCTAATTTCCATTAATTAATGCGACACCCGGAACGATTCGTAAAACACATCCGTCTCTCTCCGAGGTCGCCGGGCGAATGCCGAAGTGATGACGTAGGTCGTAGTCACCACCGCGCCGCGCGACACGATCCCCCACTCCTCGCTGTTCGTCTCGCGCCGTTTAGATATCCTATTATTGTGAATGAAAAATATTCATTTATTCATATTTTACATGATTTTGACAAAAGGGTATCATCGTACATTTTGCGCTTTGCTTTGTGGCATCTCTGGCACTAGTTTAATCCTATATTATTTGCGCGGTTCTTTTTATATACGTAATTAATAATTATTTGCATGTGAGATATTTTTAATATGCTAATGGTACATTATGTTTCAATTTTCATTATACTTTTAAAATATTTTAAATAATTCATACTTAAAAAACAAAGATTGATAATATTCTATATATCCTTTATAAAGATATATGCAAATTTTCTTAATATTGCGAAACAATTTGCGCTTAATACAATTTTGGTTAAAATTATTAAATATCATGTTAATCATTATTTAATTTTTCAGCTAAAAAATTAATTTATGGCACTACTGTTGCTGCATATTATTCTGTTTCAAAAATTCTTTAAATTTACGTATAATGCTGATGGCTCAGTAAAATAACTGTTACGACTTATTTAAAATAAAAAATATAAAATAAATTTCAGAAATTCTTATTTAAAATATTAAATAAGAAATAAGTTACAAGTGTTGTTATTATAAAATAATGAATACTAAACAACTCTTTTATTTTAGAATAAGACGTGAATGATTCTATTATTCATATCTTATTCTAAAATAAAAAAGTGTTATACTCTAATAATTGTGTTTGATAAAAACAAAATGAAAATTTGCATAAAAAAACATAATTTTGTAATTTTATAAGATAAAATTCACTAAATTAAGTTATTTGAATTTTCAATTTTGTTTATTAAAATAAAAAAATATTAAATAAATTCTAGAAACTTATTTAAAACATTAAATATGTTTAATAAGTAATAAGTTAGAAGTATAGTTATTTAAAATAATAAATACTAAATAACTTTTATCTTAGAATAAAACGTGAGTTAGTTGATAGAATATTTAACAATTCAAATATATTATAAAAGAATAGCAAGGCGTCAATCTTTTATCAAGAATATATTGTGTTCATTGCACGGATTTTGTATAACAAAATTCCCGGGGAAAATGTTTCATATATAATTACATATATAATTATATATAATTATATACAAAATGTCCATATATGTATATATAATATTTTTTTCTAGATTATTATAAACTGATATGATCATTTATCATAACACAATTAAACTAAGATATTCATGAGCTGCGTGAATGAGTAAAGAATCTAAGAAATAAAGCAAAAACCCTGCAATAAAGACTATTGATTGAAGAACATTAAAAATATAAAGAATTTAAAATATATTATTTTACTTATTCGTAATATTCATTGTTATTTCGACAGTTAGACGGTTGGCACGCGGGAGGGGATGGTACGGGATAGCACGAGCGGCGCGTCACGCTTATACGTAGTTATTGCGCAGCATTCCATTCCCGAGGATCGTATAGGTAGATAGCTGTACCGTGTGCCGCTCTTCACATTTCTTTTTGAACTGTAATCGCGATAAATACATAATACGAATCGTCGCTTTAGATTCCAAAAACTTACATAAAATATTTAATAAGAAAAAGTTGGAAAAAGTTTTTTTTAACCCTTAAAATTCAACAACTTTTATTTACATATGTAGGAGATGCGAAATTAAAATTTTTTCGTTCAAGGACTCATTAAACTATCCCTCCTATGGATAATCGGCATGCTTTTGTCGTGTTCTTTAGTATAAAGACGAACCACATTTACGTTCAACGATATGATTTTATCGATAGTGTCAAAAAATGTATGTAATTATGTAGTTCCCAAACTGAAAATGGATGTGCTGGCAGTAGTGTACGAGTGATGTAACAGGAAGAAGCCTGGCATGGCTTCTCTCAGATTTCTCCCTGAGAAAAGTTGCCCTAAATTAATCATATTAAACAATTTTATAAACGCACAGTGATTTCTTTCATCTGATTAATCTGTTTTTTAGGATCCAATGAAATGTGCCAATCAGATGAAATCGCGCTCTTTCGCGATGCATTGCAATAACGCCTTTATGTAATGGAGCGTTCAGTGTTTACTATTGCGATGTTGGCGACACTGGAGGGATGTCAATTCAATCAAATTCAATATGAAAACGGGTGACGAGAAGTACGACAATAAACGACACTTGAACGGCGTGTAATTAATAATAAATTCTTCGTTCAAGAATTAATCATCACAGAACTTGTATGGTTTACAACGCACTGGAATATCGAAGATGTTGATCTACGATGTTTTGCACAAAGAGAAGGTGTATCACGCTGTCGCCAGCGATCTTAGAAGCCTCGGAGTTAAGTATCGCTTCAAGAAGAGCATGCTTAAAAGCGAAAGGCCCGAGGCGTGCAAGGATATCTCCAAAAAGGTTTTCAAGACCCCTTTATTTTATCAAGCCTTGGACATTGTTAATCTATCATCAGGCGCCATAGTCCACATACCTGTGTTTGTCATTCAAGCCTCTACGTTCTTGGAAGAGCATGTCGCTCAAGAGGGTCTGTTCAGAAAGGCTGGCTCTCAGGCGCGACAGAGAGAATTGATATCCCGATTGAATAACGGCGGTGGTTTAGGTGACAAAAATCATGCGATCGATATTGCCAATTGCCTAAAATCTTTCTTCCGAGACTTACCAGAGCCACTGATTCCATATGCATATCACGATTTGTTTGTGCATTGCGCTTTGCTGAAGAGCCATCGGATACAGGCATTATTGTTAGCATGTACACTGCTACCACCGTATCACTTGAATACCTTAGCATTCTTCATGGAATTCTTGAAAAAGGTTTCTATGTATGAGAAACAGAACAAGATGAATATTGACAACTTGGCGAAAGTCATTGGACCGAATATCATGCCATTGCAAGAGACATCCATGTCAGCTGTACAGAATAGATTGCAAATGCATTTAACTATTGTCAAGGTAATACAAATTTTAAAGAATATATATTGATAAATCATATAAGCAAATGGATAATTGTTATGTAAATTAATATTGTTACAGATTCTGATTGAAAATGCAGAAGATATTGGTGTCCTACCACCTCATATTGCTCAGAGTATTTCTACTGAAACAAGCGGCAGCACAGATAATGGATTGGATTCATTTGAATTACATAGAAAGCATAAAAAGAAGAAGCATCGTAGTGGAAGTCTTACACGTAAGTCATATCGAAATACTCTCAGTTTTATCTAAATATATCTAAAAATATATTTACTGATTTATATGTAAATACAAAAAATATATATATGTATAAATGTTAGTAAGATTTATAATATTAAATTAAGATTTATAATATGAAAAAATTAATTAAATTAGAACACCCCGCCCCACCTCCCTAACATTGTTAGATTTATTAAATGTAATTTTGTATTGCACATAACATTATATGATTCAAATCTTATTTAAAATTTTATAGTTTTTCTTATATTTATGTATGTATATATAACATATATGTATATACAACATGGGGATGTAATGTTTTATACAGGAATGTTCAATGGCTTA